ATGTGAAAATGGTTGAGCCTAAAGAGTTGCCAACCACACACACACAAAGAAGGGATATAACATATTTTAGTAACAAAAAGAAAACCTGCATCATAATTTTTTTGATAAATTTATGCTTTTCAAGCTTGAACCTTTGCTAGATAATCTCTTAATTAGGGCTCTTCAGATTTTCTATCTCCGCTTGTTTAATCTTCCGGATAGAAAAGAAGTTCTTAATTAGATTAGAAGGATGGACTAAACCATTACTTCATAAAGTACAAAGATAAAATGGACAATTTTCTGTAGTTTCGGGGTGGAACTCTGCAAATAAACTTTCTCACGTGCTGGACTGAACACGTGATTAGGATAATAAAAGATGTACGTGGCCAAATTCCATTCGTTCTTCAGCTGTCAGTTAAAGATGCAAAAAGAATCAAACTTTAGGGGTAAATTGTAAATAGTTTATTTTCAAGGATGATAATGGACTAACTAATGGTACTTGACTCGTCTTCTCGCATAAAAAAGAAAAAAGAAAATGGAGGTAGGGTTTCTGGGTTTGGGTATCATGGGAAAAGCCATGTCAATGAATCTACTGAAACATGGATTCAAGGTCACCGTATGGAACAGGACACTCTCCAAGGTAACCAAATCTCTAACCTTTTCGTGTTCCCTAGATTTTTAAAACCTAATTGAAAAAGGGTTTAATGGAGGAGTATGATTTGTTTAGTTTAGCTTTTCCTTGTTCAGATCTGATTAGTCAATTTATTGGGAAATTTTTGATAATGGAACAGTGTGATGAGCTGGTGGAACATGGTGCTTCAGTATGTGAAAGCCCAGCTCTAGTAATCAAGAAATGCAAATACACCATTGCTATGCTCTCTGATCCTTGTGCTGCTCTTTCGGTATACAATCCTTCTTTTCTGGTTTGACGATGATGATAAGAACCATTGAAAATAGTTACAATTTTTGGTGGTCTGTCTGAGTAGGTTGTTTTCGATAAAGACGGTGTTCTCGAGCAAATCTGTGAAGGGAAAGGTTATATAGATATGTCAACAGTTGATGCAGAGACTTCCTTAAAGATCAATGAGGTTGAAACCTTTGTTGTGCTTTTTGACATAATTAGACAAAAATAAAGATCGATTAGTTTAGATTTAGCTGTGTTGTATATTTGGCAGGCAATCACCGGGAAGGGTGGTCGGTTCGTAGAAGGTCCGGTTTCAGGTAGCAAAAAGCCAGCAGAAGATGGCCAACTCATTATCCTTGCTGCTGGTGACAAGGTACTACTACTCATTCTATACTTCTGGATCAATCGATTGATCTCAAGCACTCTAGCTATAATTCGGGTGTATTTAATCCTTTTGCAAGGCCCTCTTCGAGGAATCGCTCCCAGCTTTTGACGTCTTGGGGAAGAAGTCGTTTTACTTGGGACAAGTTGGAAACGGAGCTAAAATGAAACTAATAGTGAACATGATAATGGGAAGGTGAATAATGTTTGTCTCTTTTACTATTACAAGTATGAATGGAGCTTGATTCATGACCCGGTTGTTACTAATTTGAGACAGCATGATGAATGCGTTCTCCGAGGGGCTTGTATTGGCTGACAAGAGTGGACTTAGCTCTGACACTCTTCTGGATATTCTGGTGAGACAATCAAAATTTGTAAGCTCTGAATTAATGTTGTTGGTTAAAATTGGTTGTGCTGTGAGCAGGATCTTGGCGCAATGACCAACCCGATGTTCAAGGGCAAAGGACCTTCCATGAACAAGAGCAGTTATCCACCAGCATTTCCACTGAAACATCAGCAAAAGGACATGAGGCTAGCTCTTGCTCTTGGCGATGAAAATGCTGTTTCTATGCCTGTAGCTGCGGCTGCAAATGAGGTCAGTTACTCAGAGACAAGAAAAAATTAGTTCTCATTTTGATTGGCATGGATCTTAAGACGTTTCTTTATGTTTTTAACAGGCTTTTAAGAAGGCGAGAAGCTTGGGACTTGGAGATCTCGACTTCTCTGCTGTGATTGAGGCTGTGAAATTCTCCCGGGAATAGCAAACTGTCGAAACAAAAGTCCCCTCGGTTACTCCTTAATTTCTTCTGGAATGACTGAGTTTACTAAAATGATTGTTATCTTCCCAAATAGAGATTTGCTCATTTGGCCAAAACATATGTTAAATCTTCACCAAATAACAAGCCTTTAGACACTATTCATCGTACATCGGTTTCTATGGTAGCAAATGCAAACGCTTGGTAGTTGAAGAGTGAAATAGGATCTCTAATCCAAAACGTTCACACAGATGCAAACGCTGCAACCTGACGTTATGATTTATGGGGTTTTCTGTATATAATGAGAATCTAAATGTCTAAAATGCCTATGCCATATTCTAAATGTACATGAATTTGAAATACTCAAGCTATATGTGTGTTGGTTCAAGAGACAAATTTGGAATCATTAATCAACTTTGAATTCGAATGCAAAAGACAGAAATGACTAGAAATGTTGTTTTCTATAGAGATTGATGAAAGAGAGAGAATAGTTATAGAGTTAACTAGCTACAAAACCATACAAAGTTCTTTAATTAGAAAACTAAACGTGAGAATCCAAAACCTCAAAATCATTGTATCATAGTTTGTGGTGATTTACGATAAATCTCCGGAAGTGGTATATGTGTATGTATATGTTGGGAACCGATAAAATCTTGTGTATGAATGTATGTGTATGATACTAGTCGTAAAAAGAGTAAATCTTGTTCAATATCTTTACAGATA